TGTTTCTATTCCGGCCTTTTACCAAGCCTGTGCGGTAAATACCGAAGCGTTTCCAAATATCATTGTTGAATCATAGATTCCATCGGAAGACTTAGACTTTATCAGACTTCAGATTTTACAGTGAGACCTGAATTTTGGACACGAAATTATTTGTTATTTCCTAAAAAAAATATTTTTAATTTTTATTTAATAAAGCTAATGCTATTTTCATTAAACAGTTAGTTTTTTAAAATATATATTCATATCTATTAAAATTATATTTAGAAATATTTTGCAGTTACAAGACACTTCAAAACATATTTTATGGCGAGAAAAAAATTTAGGGTGATTTCATGATTTTGTCCACCACACGAAGAAAAAAATATTTAAAGGAAAATTAAATTAATATCCCAGAATGTGCAGTCATTTTTAACGACATCTAGTCTAGCCAATATAAACGATGTATGAGAAAACGATAGGGTATAATATATGCTATGTAGATATATGTAGAAAGCCACGTGAATAAAGCGCACACGGAAGTATAGAAATGGACGGAGAATGGAGTATAAAATGATTTCGGTTCCATAAACAAGAACCTTTCTCAAAGTTTGAGCACCAAATGATCTAGTGCTTTATTCACATTGTTTCTTAAATTGGTAAGGAACAGAGAGTTACTAAAGTGATAAGAAAAGATATAAACGTATGAAAATGGTTAAACCTAAAGAGAGAAAGAGGAACACATTTGAACAAGATAATACAAAAGGACATAAGAATTAGGTATTTCTCCCATCCCCTTCTAATGTGACCTGTATATGAACTATTTAGAAGCAAAATTATTTGATTTAATGAATAAAAAATTGATTTTTATCGACGATTTGTTAGCTATTGTTTCACATTTATGGACAATGCTGACATTGATCATGTTCTCAATGCTATGAATTCTATAGATCCGTGAATACAATTCTAGCTTCAGCAGGGAAATAAAAGCTATTTTCCTTTCTTAGATGTTCATATTAATAGTAATGGTGATAAATTTTTCACTAATGTTTATCCGAATCCATTTGCAATGACATTCTTTCCTCATAACCTTTCATTCCATCTCTCAACCAATATACAACTGCTTTACGCGCAACTGCTTATAGTGCTTCCAAAATTTGTTCAAATAATTATCTACTCAATGAAGAGCTCCGCTACCTTAAAGTTATCATTGTAGATTACGGTTTTCTTTAAAATATTTGCTTGACTATTTATCAAATTCCATATCAATGTGGTCTTGCGATTATTAGACAAACTTGGCGCATCCTTACACATCGACTTAAAGATGTGTCCAAAATCAGAGAATTAACCAATCTTCCATCACTCTACACAGGTTGAAATCTAATCACAGGTTTAAGTTTTCTTCTTCTAAAATTAATTAGCACCGATTTTCATCTACCGAACTTGATTTTCTGGAGTCATTCCATTTTATGGCAAAATCTATTAATTCAGTTAAATATTTTAACAAAAGCCAATAATGAATTTAACAAAAGCCAATAATGATTTTAACAAAAATCAATGCGAGTGTTTTGTGGAAAGAAACCGTAGCATCTAGTTCGCTGAATCTATGTCACATTTTATACTATTGTAGAAAGTGACAGTGCTTGATTTCTACTCCCTGTTATCGTCTGAAAAAATACTTGAATACTATATAGAAATATATTATTATTCTTTTTTGCATATATACAGTAAGTATATAGTTTTCATTCTGCAGTGTCAAAAATGAGTGTCATGACGAGGAAGTGACATGAAAATTAGGAGGACATTTTCTTTTGTGTTCAATACCCGCAATGTAGTATCGTTCTTACGAAAAAAAATCATATGCAAGTTTTGCTGAGGCAAAAGACAGTAATCCTGCTGAGCCAGGAGTTTGTAGTGGTTCCATAATTAGAGCACTATACTGTAATTCAGGGATGGCGAACCAATGGCACGCTTGCCATATATGGCACGTGACACAATATTTTGGCCACTCCACCGATCACAATTGTTGTTACACTATGAATTGTTATTACACAAATGTTATTACGCTATGAAGCATATGTAACAATTAAATTAAAATTCACAAAAAACAAACAAAATAATAAACAATTATTAATAAAAAAATTAAAAATTAATACTAAAAAAATAATTAATAACCGTAAAAAACAAGCTAACAATAAATAACTAGCAAAAAAAAAATCTACAGTCCTGCTTAAACTAACATCTTACAACCTAATATAAGTTATTGGTCATCTAATCTGCAACAACAGAAATCACACTGATGTTACTTAAAGTTGAATTACGTGTATAACTGAGACATGTATACAAAATGAATTTTTTTTCACTGTAAATAAAGAGTTTTGAGTTGATAGTATTTAGTATTATAATTTTCCCAATAATCACGAAGTTAAAATTATTTGACGGCATGTCTATGACCTCATTGGGCAATATTTTAGAGAAAATGGCACGTTGGTGTATAAAGGTTCGCCACCCCTGCTGTAATTCATTAACCCGTTTTTCAACGCGTACAAATACAGATAGTAGTTAGAAAATCGGATTTTATATAAGTAACCAATTTTTCGGATATTATATCTACTAAAATCAAAGCTAAGAGGGTTGAATGCTTTTATTATTACTTACATGACAATAATTCTTCAACAGCAATATTTTCTTTTCCTGGATTATAACAAATATAGCTTTTTGTATAGCATACACTACCGGTCAAAAGTTTGCGAAAATTTTGAAATCTACAAAAAAAAGTTCTAAATTCAAATGTTCATAGAACTGCGAAAAATCATTCAAATGGCATGAAAATTTGATATGTTCTAATGTGAACTCTTTACAGTTAGTTACATATGATCAAATTGCAATACTTTGTTTTTTGCGAACTGAATCCACCTTTTCATCATGAGTTGTTTCTATGGTGAAAAAAGTTGTTAAGTTTGAACACTTGCCAAACTTGCAAAAAAATTTTTTTGTACTTTCTGTTAATAGAAAATAGTTATTTGAATAGTTCTATGTATGTCCTCAAAATTTCAAATTGATTTGATTTTTTTGACGAAGTTATAGAATTTTGAAAAACATGTGTACTTTTCTCGATTTTTAAGCATTCCACATTTGCGGTCCTTTGGTCTATACATCTTCGACCAAAGAACTTTTTAATTTTAATGTTTTCTATATTTTCAAATAATTAATATTGATTATAAAACAAATATTCTTATTTATTATTGTAATTATTGTTACTACAAGGAACTTATTATGAATATAATTAAAACAATATCTCATAGATGTCACATTTCATCTAAAATTTGTTTGTTCTTGCAAACGATGCTCTGATATTTGAATCGAAGTCAGTTATGGGACATTTTACAACAGGAATGGAACTCTATATCACTTGAAGTGATTAATGGTTTATTAGAACGAATGCTATGCATATGTAAGGCTATAATAAAAGCAAAAGGTGGATGGTTCGAGGAATCTAAGATTTAAATGTTAAT